TAAATGAAAAAGTAAATTTATATAATTTTTTATTTCCACCCCAGCTCTCTGCACCTTTACTTATAGCATATTTTCTATTTCTTCCACCACCGTCTCCTAACCTGTCTAACTCGTGACTCCTATGTATTTAATTCTGAATATGACGGGACTTTTACTTTAACAGCTATTTATTTTCATTTGGGTTCACTAAAGGATTTTAAAATTTGTTTAAATTATTTTCAAGTCTTCACAGGGTCACAAGTTGTAATAAATAGATTTGGAAAACTGTTTTCTTTGGGCCTTGTTCTATATTCGTGATCCAAACCCTTGATGGGAAGAAATTGATGCTGTTGGAGCTTTTTTCTTTATTTTTAATTTCAAGCATAACTCTATAACAATTGTATCCTTTTTTATTTTCTGTGGATCCCGATCGCTTTTGAATATTTTTTTCTTACAGGTAGCCTAAAGTAACATATTGAAATGTAGGGTTACAGTTTTTTTATTTTGCTACTAGATTAATCTATTGGTTGCTTTTACATAACAGATGAATATTTGTTATTAGTAATTGGAACCAACCCCTGCTGTAGTGATAGATGTAGCTCAACTAGTGACTTTAACATGAGGGACAAAGAACAAGTAGCTAGAGACGAGAGCTAAACGAAGAACAGGAGACAATAGAGAAGGAAGAGCAAACAATTTTCCCTGTGGTAATCAAGACACCCAGAGCAGTGTGAGTGGTTAGCTTAGTAGGTTTCTCTAAATTGTTCTTTGGTGTGACTGTGTGTGCATGGGTTGTGTGTTGCTGTGTTGCCCTGCGATAGACTGGCAACCTGTCCAGGGTGGGCCCGCCTCTCACCCATAGACTGCTGGAGACAGGCACCGACCCCACCGCGACCCTGACAACGACTAAACGGGATGGATGGATGGATGGATGGATGGATGGATGGATGGATGGATGGATGGATGGATGGATGGATGGATGGATGGATGGATGGAGGGATGAATTATTTATAATTGGCTGAGAGGTAGCATCAGTAGAAGCTGTGTTTAAACATTCATCTGTACAGTTAGAGTGACTTAGAGATGAAAAGATGAATGTTGCTGCCAGTGTCTCTCTCTTTCTTCTCTTTCGCTCACTCACTCACTGAAACACTCTCTCTCTCTCTCTCTCTCTCTCTCGCTCTCTCTCTCTCTCTATATATATATATATATATATATATATATATA